TTCCACAGCATAATTTGCCTTTGTTCTTTGAGTTGTTATGAACAGTTGGGCCTCAAGGTTCTTATTGCTGTTCAGTTGTTGAATTATTTGGTTCATGTATGGGGCAAATTATGCTGTGCATCCGTATGCATCAAGCATGGTGCATACGGATGCAAAAACGACGTCGTTTTTATAAAAAGCGCGTCTCCCCTTAAAAACAAAAAAAGGTTCGAAACTATAATTCCATAATCGATGAACTATAATTCCATAATTGATGAACTATAATTCCATAATCTAATCTATGAACTAAAATTTTCAGAATAAATGAACTAAAATTCCAGAATTTATGAACTAAAATTTCATAATCGATGAACTATAATTCCAGAATCGATGAACTATAGTTCCATAATCGATGAACTATAATTCCATAATCCATGAACTAAAATTCCATAATGAATGAACAAAATAATGTTGTTACTAGGAATCGAACCTGATTTTTTTTTTTTAAAGGGGAGACGCGCGTTTTTAATAAAACGACGTCGTTTTTGCATCTGTATGCACCATGCATGGTGCATACAGATGCACAGCATAACTATTCCATGTATGGTGGGTCAAATTTCTGGGCTTAAAATGTGGGTTAGCCCAAGGTGGTGTAATGGGCTTGGAGATGACATCTTTAAAAAAGGAGAAGTGAGGGTTGAGTTTGGTAGAAATGGGTCAGGGCCCAAGACCAAATGATGGACTGGTGGCGACCTTGTCAATTATTATACCATAGACCATGGTGTATCTTGTAAGGTAAACACTTGATTTAAGGTACATTTTTTATATACTAAATGTACATTTTTAATACACTAAATGTTGATTTTTTAAAAATATATTATTTGAATGTTGAAGGTTCATTATTCGGTATATCAATACATAAATAATGTGCATTCAATATATTAAAAATAAACATTTATTAATGATTCACAATACAATTTGCATGATCTTGTCCAATAGGGCCACTACAATATAATAGGTTTTTGGCTTCACTAGGCTATATATTGGATTCCGTGAACTCGCATCCAAACTCATAAATCGAGCATCAAACTGTGCACTTCTACCTGATAGGGTATGGACCCAATGGGCTACGGGGCCCAAGGAAAGATGGACCAACAGAATGGGCTTGCCGTAATAGGCCCAAAAGGGATAAAAGGAATTTACGCTGTGGGCAGGCCCTGAGGAAAGCGCGGCCGAGTGAGGAGCCGAGTCCAGGGAGTCGGCACCAACAAGAGTCGGCCCAACCAGTGACCGTTGCTACTTAAAAAGTCCGCCATTAATACGGGCCAATCCAGCCGTTGGGAGGGTCATGTAACGGCGACCCAATGACTCTTAGCCCCTTTATTCTTCAGTATAGCACATTTAAACTTGTATTTAATTAGTGGAGGAGGGTCACCTATAAAAGGGCTCCTCGCCGGAATGAAAAGGCAGCATAGCTCCAAGAATACAAAGAAATATCCATAAACTATAACCGATAATAACCTATTTCGCTAGTTACCTTCCTGCTTTTCAAGGGATTTCTCATAAGCATATTTTCCGGTGAATCCACCAACCAATTGTGTTGGACCTCCGTGGGCACAAAAATCCTAAAACCAACATTGGCGCTGTCTGTGGGGACGTAACGAAAAGTTGCGTCTCGAACTTTACACGAACTAGTCGAAAGACGTCCAACCAAAGAAATTGGCGAAGGACGGAAAGTCGAGATAATGGCAGAAGGAGAGCAGAGTCATGCCTCTGGAAGTAACAACGCCCGTAACGCAGGAGGTGATAGGCGAGCACAGCTAAGTCAACGCAGTTCGAGAGAACGGGAGAGTGAGTCAGCACCCCGACCCTCGCCACCACCTATGGTTCCGCTTACGCCTGCACAGATCGACGCTATCGCTCGAGTAGTGGCAGCCCAAATGCAAAGGCAGAGGGCCCCATCGACCTCTCAATCGCCCCCAGATACCCCGGAATGATCGAATCCAACCTTCTGAGCAGAGTGGGAGAGATTAGGAGAATCAAGGGCATGGTAGTCAGCAGGCTCGATCCGTGCATTCGAGGTTGGGCCTTGACGCCACTCGACGGTCTGTGCGAGAGTGATTAGGCGAAAAGCTACCTAGCCGAGCCCCGCCCCCGTGGCAGATCAAGAGAACTAGAGAAAGGGTGACCTCCACGCGACCGACTAGGACCCAGAGTCGACGAATCAGGAAGAGGGTAGTGGAGGAAAGACGTCAGGCCGAATCTCAAGAGAGAGAAAGTACCGAGTCCACGGGGAATCAGATGGAAAATCCCGATGAGGTAGCTTACCTAGCACAAGAGATACGCAATTGAAGGATCAAATGGAGAGAAATTCAAAATCACCTGGTCGAGCTTTGCTCACCGCCTTACCCTTCTCGGCTGAGATCATGTCATTCAGAATACCTGGGGATTTCAAATTCCTCGAGCAAGCTACCTTCGATGGAACGGGCGACCCACGGGAGCACCTCTTAGGTTACCAAGAAAAGATGCAGGTCTTGGTGTAACACCCTGAAATTTTTAAAACTTTTAAGGACTATATAGCAAAGGTAAATGATCATAAATCCCAACCTGTTTATCAAACATAATACAAAGAGTACGGGGTGCTATGCCACACCTTGAGCTAGAGAACTCAGGTGCACAAGCTAACTAACTAATATCCTCAATGATGCAAATACATAATCATGGCACGCAGGCCGAAAGGGAAACTAACTACTTCTACGCTCCACGGTTCTAGCGCGCTCCAGTGTCTACTCTTCTGTGCCTGAAAGCCAAATATATCTGTTCAGCGAGAGATGCTGGTAACCCACTCCAACGCGTTGAAATACAATACATATAGATATATACATAGTTATACGAAATACCATTTCGAAGCATGAGGTATATCCTAAGAGACTCTAGCTTTCAAAACAGGGAATAGACTCAACAGATAGGGCTAAGCACAGACAACAATTATACCAAGCATACATAATATGGGGAAATAGGCAAGACAAATCAAGGTAAGCACAGTTAATACTCATAACCCAACATATACGATTCCCGACATAAATCCCAAAGTCACATCCCAAGACATTCATAACAACAACTTATCCACATCTCATCACACAAGCACACTTTGTTGGCGCCACAGGACCAATCGCATGCCCATACATGAGGGTCAGCGCATATAGCTCTGACACGGCCCCACAGCACCATGCCCCGTATCGCAACACGGAGGGGTCGATCGCAACCGACCGATGAACCGCAGCTCATCATAGTTTGATCGCAACCAAACAGTGGACCGCAGCCCAAGAGTATGTCATCTGACCGCAGCCAGGAAATATGAACCGCAGCTCATGTAGAAACGTTTGATCGCAACCAAACGGTGGACCGCAGCCCTATATAATATTTATATACCTGACCGATCGCAACCGGCCTGGTTAACAGTCAGTATGGTTCTCAACCCATCCAACTGCCCGTATAACCAATTTGATCGCAACAAAATTGGGGTATTATGCACACATAACACATAGCAAGCACATGCAGCCCACATTAACACATTGGGAAGGGGGAGAAAACGTATAACAAAACCTATGCGTGATCCTTCACATACTAAGAATAATCCTAAGGGGTTCATACCTCTTTCACCTAGGTCAACGGGATACCAATTCAACTAGCATGCAATATATAAGACTCATACCTCCTACGAACGGTACCCGAAATATCAAACTAGACATAGGCACGATAGACGGAGTCCGTTGGGACACCACGGGGGTCGGGGGAACATCAAACGGGGAAGCCAAAATCCCAAATTGGGTATTTTTCCAGCGGGTAGCCGGTGGGTGAGAGTTCACCCGCCGGCGACGATGATTCTGGGCAGCGGGTGCCCGGCGGGCAACTGCCCGCCCGCCGGCTGCCCGCTACCGGCAACGCCAATAACGGCCGCGGGTAGGTGGCGGGTCCCCTACCCCCACCTACCCCCCACTCACTCTTTTATCACCAAAAAACGTCCCGGGAACCTTTGTGGAACCCGAAACCATGCTCAGACACTTTTAAACGCAATTGATAACACACGTAGACAATTAACGGATCAAAATCAAGAAACATACGGCACATAACCTATCATGATTTTCTAAACATAATCAACACCCAAACATACGAATTCCCACCCAATATACCAAGAATAATACCATACGAGTTCCACGATACAACCTAGGATTCTAATTACTTTTAAATCAACAAGAACACAATTCATCTTCTAATATCAAGATTTGATAGGAATATCACATAAACATCAAGAGCATCATATAATCATCAAGAATATCAAGAACACCACATAATCATCAAGAACCTCTTATCATCAAAATCACCCATGGAATCATAACACCAATTATCAATATCATTATAACGAATCATCAACACACAAGAATATGGGGGAAATCCTAAGAGGGGAATCATAGCTATGAAAATAGGTTTTGTTGAGACATGGGTTACCTCTTAGCCTTAATTAATTCCTTGGCTATGAAGGGTCTTTCTTTAAGCTTTCTTCTTTCTTGATTCCTCCTAAGGGGATTCTTGGAACTTCTTGTGTGGTGAGAGATTATTGTGGTGAAAGATCTAGGTGCCTCCTATATCCCTATTTATATATTTAAGACTCATAATTAGGGCCTGAATGGTATGGGTTTACTAATTCTATTCCTTATAGGACTAAGGGCTTGTTTTAGGGATAAGGGTCCATGGTCCATAGTGGACCATATTAATTAATTTAAAGAGAATCCTAATCATAATCTGAATAGTAAAAGGTTTACTTTCTTTATTCCTAATAGGCTTAAGACTCTAGTTTAGGCAAGGGTCCACGGTTCATGGTGGACCTTTATTAATTAATTAAAGGGAAACCTAACAGAATTAAATCATATTTAATTATTATTAACGGGATTAATTAAATAATTAATCCGGAATTGAAGGCCGTAACACGGGGTGTTACATTGGGGGTGAAGGACCCGGTCATGTGTCACGCCTTCCTGCCGACCTTAAAGGGTCCTGCTCAGAGGTGGCTTGTTTCTCTTCCACCTGGGTCTATCCGTAGTTTCAAAGACTTGGCTGATCGATTCATGAGCCACTATGCGGCGAACATCAGGCTTCAAAAGGATCTAACACACCTTGGCGACATCCATCAAGACGAGGGTGAGTCGCTCAAAACCTACTTGGCGCGATGGCAAAAAGAGATCCAGGCCATTGAAGGAGTCGAAGACCAGAACGCGCTCACATTTTTCATCGAGTCGCTTCGATCGGAAAAGCTGTATAATGATCTCTGGGATAACCGACCAGCAATGTAACACCCCGAAATTTTGAAACTTTTTAAAACTTATATAATAAAGGTGAATTCTCATTAAATCCCAAAATCAAACATAAGAGTACGGGGTGCTATGCCACATCTGAGCTGGAGAACTTAGATGCACAGGCTAAACTAACTAAATATCCTCAAAGCAATGTCAATACATAATCATGGCATGCAGGCCGAAAGGGAAACTAACTAATTTATGCTTCGGATCTCTAGCGCGCTCCGGGGTCTACTCATCTGTGCCTGAAAGCCAAATATATCTGTTTAGCGAATGCATAACTCAAAGGAATAAGACACGACAAACGGCAACACATGCCAAGGCAACACCTGCCTTTGTGACTACATACGTCACAAGAAGAGAACTCACAACAACGGCTACACAAGCCCTCGTGACATCACCCATCACGAGTTGATATGCCTTCCTTATGCCCGGTTCCAACCTTATGGCTACCCCCAACCTTGTATCTTCTTCCAACCATTACCTCCAGGACCCCTGTACACCAAGTCCAACCTTTTCCCTCCGAGGACCGTCGTCCCCATCCGCCAACGACCGCGAACAAAACCACCGATTTCATAGTACACGAGGGTACCATTCACACACACGGCAACACATGCCTCTCCCAAAATATGTGAATCTGACACACAGGTCACAACTCCATAATCACGTCATGGCCACCACGAGGACCACTGCAATACCTTGGTGACTAGTGTCCCATACCACTAATCGTGCAATCCAGATAAAGCCACACACACATCACACCACAACAGGAATCAATTAACGGATCACAACGAAGATATGAAACCATACTCTATCAAGGAATGGGTCACAGCCCAACAACAACAACGATGAATAACACAAGTTATCATCAACCATAGCATTTAAACACCGAACTAGCATGCTTATCAAACGGGTAAACCAAACGTAGTTCCGAAGAACACACAAGACTCATCACGGTTCAACAAAACACAATGTTGAACACTTAGCACGATTCAAGACACCAAAACCTACATGGATACCTACCACATAGTTCTAGACATATGAAACATCAAGAAGACGCTCAAATAGTTCCACAAAAGAACATCGGGAAGTCAAAACACCAAATACCGAGTCAAAAGAATCACGGGGAACAAATCCCCGCCAATCACCAAAGTGTACCCCGTAGGTGGACCCACGGGTAGGCCCCTACCCGTGGTCCTGCCCGCGGGTACATACACCCACAAGCCTCTCTCCCCGCGGGTGGGGCGGCGGGTAGGGCTCTGCCCGCCGTTCCGCCCGCGGGTACCCAACCTGTACCAAAATAATCCCTTCGGGGATTTTCAACTCCAAGCTCAAATTCAAGTCCAAAACATGCCAAAACTCACCAAATACAACAAAGTGACTTGAATCAAAGGAATAGCCAAGCAATGGCATACAAGAACCCTAAACACAAGCTCTAGATATGCATTTTCACAAGACAATGCATAAACACTCAAATTTCATAGCAAAACACATGTAGAATCCAAGAAATATTCATATAGGTAAGCAAAATAGATTTTGTAGAGCATGGGTTACCTCCTGTAGACCAAAAACCTTCACTTAACACCACACCAAGCTCCTATCAAAGCTCACCTTCCAAACCCACTTCAAGAACATACCAAAAGATCATAAAGATCCTATCTTTAAGAAAAGACACCTAAGAAAACACTGAAAACACAAGATGAACATGGATCTTACCCTCCTAGATGCCCAAATGTATGAAAGGTAGAATCTTGGAGACAACTCTTGAAGTCTTGACAAAGCTTCAACTTGGCTTGGAAGAAAAGCTATCCACCTTTTTAGAGAGAAGATGGAGCTAGGATTTTGGAAAGTGTAAGGATAGAAATGAGGTGTTCTTACTAGGTTAGGTTACAATACTAACACAAGGTGAATGGTCAAGAATACCCTTACTAACATGGAAAGGTGTAAGGAACAAGGGAATTCCTTACAAAGCTCAAGGTGCAACTTTGACTATGGGGTTGACTAGTCAATTACTAGTCCCCGACTATTAAAGTTCAGGAATTTAAGGAATTAAATTACAAATTGAAATAGGATTAATAACTTAATTAATCCCTTAACCGAATTTGGATTTCGGGGTGTCACAGGCCCTTCCTAGTTAATTAATGGGTTTTAAATTCTCTTTTTAGGGCAAGTAATTAAATAATTAGTTTGGGTTAGAGGCCGTAACACGGGGTGTTACAGTGGAGGCAGGTCGCATGGGCGGTCGCTGGTGATCTGCTTGGTGGCGGCTGTCGGCGGAGTGGGCTACGGTGTGCTCGGGTGGTGCCGGCGGCGTGGGGAGAGGGAGAGAGAGGAATGAGGGAGTGGGAGGAAGGAGGAAGAAGAAGGGTTTTTGATTTGGGAATTTTGTGGGTTTTAGGGATTTGTGGGGGTTTAAGAAGGGAGTGTTCCCTTAAGGGTTCAAGAAACACTTGTAATCTAGTGGTTAAGAACTTTGTCTTATAAGTGAGAGGTCTAAGGTTCAATCCCCATTGATAACAATAGTCTTCTTAGTTATGCACCCTTTGGATTCTTTTGTCTCTTCTTCTAGTGGTAGGAAGTTTCCTCCTTGCTGGACTTTTGTCTCTCTTTTTTTTTTTTTTTTTTTTTTTTTTTTTTTTTTTTTTTTTTTTGTGTGTGTGGATGTTGACTTTGGTCACATCATGGGTTCTCGGGATTGTCCAGTCTTTCATGCTAATTTATTTTGATTTTGCTTCTTTATTTATAATAATTCCGAAGTAGCTAAACTAAACAAGAAATTTTACTACGAGGGTGATTACAGGGGGTTTGCTAATCAACCTAAATAGAATTCGTCTTCTTGGTTTCCTCCTGATTGGTTTGTGGGGTCTTGGTCTCCTGGGGCCACGTTTTCTTCGTCGAAGTTGCCTTCGTTTTCAAGTTCGGCCTAGGTGCGGCTCATGACGAATACTTTTCCAGAAGTACCGAAATTTCTTTGGTTGGTCGAGCCTCCATGCTGGCCCATGACTGTAGGGCGCGAGTTTGGGGGTTGGGGGAAGTGGAAGGACCTGTGGCCTTCCCCTCCCAGTTGAAACATCGCCAGGGGTTTCCTCTACAGTCCGTGCCCTTGTGGTCTTTGTTACATTTCTGGCAAAGGGAGGGCCTTGTATTAGATTCGTTGTTCCCCTAGAGGCGGCCCTTGGCCAGCCAGGTTGCCTGGCCTTGTGTTAGCGTCGTTTCTTGTTCTCTTTACGGGTGGCGCCCCGCCTCCTGTGTTTCTCTTACGAATCTGTTCCTGGACCCCACGTTGTAGTAGTTGGATTCGATAGAGGTTGGCGACACTGGAGTAAGCCTCATTGAGGGTCCGGGGTCCGCTTACGATTAGTGCCTTCCGGGCTTCGAAGTTGAGGCCCGATATAAATCTTTCTATCTTGGTTGTCTCGGTAGGGACCAGTTCTGGTGCGAAACGGGCTAGTTCGAGGAACCGTGTAACACCCCGTGTTACGACCCCTAAAACCAATTAATCACTTAACCAATTATCCAAAGAAAGAATTAAATTACAATAATTAATTAGGAAAAGGCCCACCATAGTCCGTGGGCCCTCATCTTTAAACCCAACCCCTAGTCCTAAAAGGAATAGAGTAGCAAGCCTATAGTATTTGGGCCCTAATTAGGACTCCTAGATATATAAATAGGGGACATAGGAGGCACCTAGAACCCCCACCACAATAATCTCTCACCACACAAGGAATTCCAAGAATTCCCCTAGAAGAAATCAAGAAAGAAGAAAGCCTTAGAGAAAGACCCTTCATAGCCAAGGAAATCAATTAAGGCTAAGAGGTAACCCATGTCTCAACAAAACCTATTTTCTTAGCTATGATCTCCTTCTAGGCATCCCTCTACATTCTTGTGTATTGATGATTCGGTTATGATATTGATGGTGTGATCTTGATAATTGATGTTATGATTTATTGGGTAATCTTATAATCTTGATGATGGAAAGAGATTCTTGATGATTGTGTGATATTCTTGATAAACCTAGATTCCTAATGATTGTGTGATATTCTTGATAAATCACATTGTTGCTTAATGTTAAAAGATGAATTGCGTTCTTGATGATTTAAATATAATTAGAGCCCTAGGTTGTATCGTGAAACTCGTGTGGTGTTATTCTTGATATATTGGGTGGGAATTCGCATGTTTGGGTGTCAATTATGTTTAGAAAGCATGATAGGATATGTGCCGTATGTTTCTTGCTTTTGATCCATTAATTGTCTACGCGTTGTCATCAATTACGTTGAAAGGTGTCTAAGCATGGTTTCGGGTTCCACAAAGGTTCCCGGGGCGTTATTTGTGAAAAAGAGTCAGTGGGGGGTAGGTGGGGGTAGGGGACCCGCCACCTACCCGCGGCCAGGTTTGGCGTCGCCGGCAGCGGGCAGCCGGCGGGCAGGCGACTGCCCGCCGGGCACCCGCTGCCCGGAAATTCGTCACCGGCGGGTGACCCTTCACCCACCGGCTACCCGCTGAAAATTGTCCCACTTCGAGATCCCGGCTTCCCCGTTTGATGTTCCCCCGACCCCCGTGGTGTCCCAACGGACTCCGTCCATCGTGCCTATGTCTAGTTTGATGTTTCGGGTGCCATTCGTAGGATGAATGAGTCTTATATATTACATGCTAGTTGAATTGGTATCCCGTTGGCCTAGGTGTAAGAAGTATGAACCCCTTAGGATTATTCTTAGTATGTGGATGATCACGCATAGGTTTCGTTATGCGATTTCTCCCCCTTCCCGATGTGTCAATGTGGGTTGCATGTGTTTGCTATGTGTTATGTGTGCATGATACCCCAATTTGGTTGCGATCAAATTGGTTATTCCTGAGCTGCGGTTCAGAAGCTGGCTGCGGTCAGATTTACACTATCGGGCTGCGGTCCACCGTTGAGTTGCGATCAAACGTTTTACATGAGCTGCGGTTCATATTCCTGGCTGCGGTCAGATGACTACTCTTGGGCTGTGGTCCACTGTTTGGTTGCGATCAAACAATATGATGAGCTGCGGTTCATCGGTCGGTTGCGATCGACCCCTCCGTGTTGCGATACGGGGCAGGGTGCTACGGGGCCGTGTCAGAGCTATATGCGCTGACCCTCATGTATGGGCATGTGATTTGTCCTGTGGCGCCATCAAAGTGTACTATGTGATGAGATATGGATGGTTTGATGTTATAAATGCTATAAAATCGTGACCATAGGATACATGCTTGTAAATCGTATATGCTTGGTTATGACTATTGACTGTGCTTATCTGTCGAGTCTGTTCCCTATGCTTGTGAATCGTATGACTGTTGACTGTGCTTATCCCTATCTGTCGAGTCTATTCCCTGCTTTAAAAGCTAGAGTCTCTTAGGATATATGTTCATGCTTCGAAATGGTTTTTCTTATATCTATGTATATATCTATATGTACTGTATTTCAACGCGTTGGAGTGGGTTACCAGCATCTCTCGCTGAACAGATATATTTGGCTTTCAGGCACTGAGGAGTAGACACTGGAGCGCGCTAGAGTCTTGGAGCGTAGAAGTAGATAGTTTCCCTTTCGGCCTGGGTGCCATGCTTTTGCATTTACATTATTGAGGATATTAGTCAGTTAGCCTATGCACCTGAGTTCTCTAGCTCAAGTGTGGCATAGCACCCCGTACTCTTTATGTTATATCTTGGGATTTAATGAGCATTTACCTTTATTATATAAGTCTTAAAAGTTGAAAAATTTTGGGGTGTTACAAACCGTTTATGGTACTCCATGACGGTGGTCATTCTTTGTTTTAGGTGGAGGAACTCTTCGTACATGGATGCTCTTACGTGTGCTGGGTAGAACCGCTCTCGTAGTCGTGTTTTTAGGTTCTCCCAGTTGAACCCTGGTTCTTGTCTGTAAGTGGGCCTTTCGTGGATCCACCAAAGATCAGCCTCGTGTCCGAAGTAGAACGAGGCTATCTCTACACGACGTTCTTCTGGGCATTCCGCCAATCTCAGGATCTTGTCGAAGGTTTGAATCCGTTCTTCGAGGATTGCGGGGTCTTCTTCCCCCGAAAAGATGGGTGGTCGATTGTTTGAAACTTGCCGTGTGATTTCCGTGTTTGTGTTTGGTGGTGGCGGTGGTCTGTTGTTATTGCGGAATGCTACATCGCTTAGTGTTTGGGCGACCTGTGTCAGTTGCTGTAGAGTTTTAGCCAGGGGATCGTGGGTGGAGGGTTCCGGAGTCCTTGACTGTCTTCTGTTTGGTGTCATGTCGTCGGTCTACAAGGCTAATGTTTATTGTAACGATGAGTTAGTGTGTTGCACCCTTACCTTGATGTGATAAGCGAAGGGGGTTCTTTAAATTAATGAAAGATAAAGTGTGATAGGTGGGCTCACAATCTCACCGCGCGTCCTAAGATTCCTGATCCTATGTTCCTAAATACCTAGAGTTTAAGTCTAATGTCCTAAAGTCTTGTCTTAAAAGTCTTATCCTAGGGTGAAACTTAGGCTCTGATACCATCTGTAACACCCCGAAATTTTTAAAACTTTTCAATCTTATAATATGAAAGAAATTCTATTAATTAATCCCAAATGGGGTATTCTGAACATAAGGGTCTGGGGTGTTATGCCACATCTGAGCTGGAGAACTCAGATGCACAAGCTACATTAACTAACTATCCTCAAACAATTGTCATTACATCATCAAGGCACGCAGGCCGTAAGGAAAGACTAACTATCTAAGCTGAGTTCCTCTAGCGCACTCCGGTAGCTAATCCTCTGTGCCTGAAAGCCAAATATATCTGTTCAGCGAATAATGCTGGTAACCCACTCCAACGCGTTAAAATACAATATAGGTATATATATATATATATATATAGGAAAACCATTTTGCAGCAGGAAGATATATACTTAGGAGACTCTAGCTTTAAAACCAGGAATAGACTCAACAGGTAGGGATAAGCACATTCAACAATTATAATCAAGCATATAAAGATATCATTCTATATCTTAAGGTCACAATTTAACTTCACTTCATTCATGTCATCTTTCAACCAATCATCTTTATCATATAAGCACACTTTGGTGGCGCCACAAGACCAATCGCATGCCCATACATGAGGGTTAGCGCATATAGCGCTAAACAGGGCCCCACAGCACCCTACCTCATACCGCAGCATGAAGGGATTGACCGCAGCCAACCGATTAGACCGTTGACGAGCTCAATGGCGGACCACAGCCCTACACACCGCTGACGAGCTCAGTCGGTGGACTGTTATCCTCTTTGTGGACTGCGACCCTACACACCGCTGACGAGCTCAGTCGGTGGATCGCAGCCCCTGTAAGACCGCTGACGAGCTCAGCGGCGGACCATAGTCCTACACACCGCTGACGAGCTCAGTCGGTGGACTATAGCCCTCTTTGTGGACTGCAGCCCTACACACTGCTGACGAGCTCAGTCGGTGGACTGCAGCCCATGGACCACAGCCCTACACACCGCTGACGAGCTTAGTCGGTGGACTGTGGCCCAAGTAGACCAATTTGACCGCAACCAGGGGAATCATGCATATATAACACGTAGCAAGCACATGCAATTCACATTAACACATTGGATGAGGGGAGAAAACGTATAACGAAGCCTATGCGTGGTCATCCACATACTAGGAAATATCTTAGGGGTTCATGCATCTTTCACCTAGGTCAACGGGGTACCAATTCAACTAGCATGCAATACACAAGACTCTTTTATCCTACGAACGGTACCCGAAACATCAAACTAGACTTAGGCACGATAAACGGAGTCCGCCGGGACACCACGGGGGTCGGGGAACATCAAACGGGGAAGCCAACACCCCAAGGTGGGGGAAATCCAGCGGGTGGCCGGCGGGTGGAGAACCACCGGCACCACCCGCCGGTTGCCCGCTGCCGGGGATGTCCAAATTGGGCAGCGGGTAGGTGGCGGGTCCCCCTAGCCCCACCTACCCCCACTGACTCTTTTTCAATATTTTGGTCCCGGGATCTTTCGTGGAACCCGGAACCATGTTTAGACACTTTTAAACGCAGACGATGACACCACGTAGTCAAATAATGGATCAAAACCAAGAATCATAATGAACATATCCTAACATGACTTCTAAACATAAATAACACCCGAACATGCGAAATCCCACCCAATTATATCAATAATATCATAATACGAAATCCCCAATTGATCCTAGGGCTCTAATCATATTCAAATCATCAAATCATAGTTTATCTTTAAAATCAAGAACATCAAGATTTATCAAGAAAATCTCACAATCATCAAGACCCTCTTATAATCATCAAGATTATCAAGATCAACACATAAAATCATCTCATCAATTATCAAGATCATATCATCATCATAAAAGATTTTATCAAGATTTTAAGTAATAGAGAAGGAGCCAAAGAAGAAGATTATAGCAAGGAAAATAGGTTTTGTTGAGACATGGGTTACCTCTTAGCCTTAATTAAATTCCTTGGCTATTAAGGGTCTTTCTCTAAGGTCTCCTCTTCTTGATTTACCCTATGTTGGTGATAAGAGAATTCTTGTGTGGTGATATCTATTGTGGTGTGCCTTTCTAGGTGCCTCTTATGTCCCTATTTATATATCTATGAGTCCTAATTAGGGTCCAAGGGGTATGTGTTGCTATTTCTATTTCTTATAGGACTAAGGAATTGGTTTAGGGATAAGGGTCAATGGTCTATGGTGGACCCTTCTTAGTTAATTAATGGAATTTAATTCTGTTTTTAGGGTAAGCAATTAAATAATTAGTTTGGGTTAGAGGCCGTAACACGGGGTGTTACAAAAAGAGCTGCAAGAACCTACTCAAGTGAAAAGCAGACACAACTGAGATGAAGAAAAGGAAAAAGAAGTCCATCCACCCCAAAATGATCAAAAGCTTGTCAAAGAACATCCGGAGGCAGTGGTAATTCCTCCCCCTTTCCCTAGTACATTGGCAAAATCAAAAAAGGATGAAGAACAAAAAGAAATACTTGACACATTTCGAAAGGTTGAGGTAAATATTCCTTTACTTGATGCTATTAAACAAATTCCTCGATATGCTAAATTTGTTAAAGAGTTGTGCACAAATAAAAGACATTTAAAGGCAATGAAATGGTAAGCATGGGGGAAAATGTTTCAGCTATTCTACAAAAGAAGTTGCCTCCTAAATGCAAAGACCCTGGTATGTTTACTATCCCTTGCAAAATTGGCAATGTTAATGTTGAAAGAAATTTGTTAGATCTAGGAGCTTCAATTAATGTGATGCCTTTATCTATTTATTCATCTTTGAATATTGGTTCTTTAAAAGAAACTGATGTAATTGTTCAACTTGCTGATAGATCTAATGTTTATCCTGTGGGGGTTTTAGAAGATGTTTTAGTGCAAGTTGATGGGTTGATTTTTCCTGTTGATTTTTATGTGTTAGATATGGAAGAAGATAATTCTACTTATTCTTCATTAATCTTATTAGGAAGGCCATTTTTGAAAACATCTAGAACTAAAATTGATGTGCATGATGGTACACTCACAATGGAATTTGATGGTGAACTCATTAAGTTTAACATTTATAATGCTATGAAATATCCTGATGATGTGTCGTCTGTTTCTCTAGTAGATGTTGTTGACCCTTTTGTGCAGAAAATTTCTTATTTGACTGATAATAATGCCTTAGAGGTTGCACTAAACATGAATCTTACCCCTGATTGGTTGAAGAAAATCATGAATAAGTTTTCTTTGAATTTTGATTTGCAAGATATTGTACATGAGTTGGAGTCACTTAAGCCAATGAAATATAATGCTTATTGTATTGAGTTGCCTATATCTGACACAAAACTCCTTCCTTCTGTTGTTCAAGCTCCAAAGATAGAATTGAAACCATTGCCATATCATTTAAAGTATGCATTCTTAGGGGATGAAGAGACTCTTCCCGTGCTAATCTCCAAAAAACTATCTACATTGGAAGAAGAAAGTATTGGTCCGAGTGCTTAGGGAATATAAGCAAGCTATAGGTTGGACTATAGCCGACAATAAGGGATTGAGCCCTTCTACTTGTATGCACCGAATATTGTTGGAAGATGAGTGTAAGCCTTCTAAACAGGCCCAACGCCGATTGAACTCACCCATGATGGAAGTGGTTAAAAAAGAAATATTGAAACTTCTTGATGCAGGTATAATATATCCAATCTCAGATAGTAGGTGGGTAAGTCCTGTATACGTTGTCCCAAAGAAAACAGGTATAACAGTGATAGAAAATGATAATGGTGAGTTGGTGCCCACTCGTATTCAAAATGGGTGGCGAATGTGTGTAGATTACAGAAAATTAAATGCATCAACTCGAAAAGATCATTTTGGGTCATGCACAAAACTCCTTCCTTATTTTGGGTCATGTGGTATCTTCTAAAGGGATTGAAGTGGATAGTGCTAAGATAGAAGTTATTGAATCTTTGCCTTACCCTGCTAGTGTGCGAGAGATTCGTTCTTTTCTTGGTCATGCAGGTTTCTACAAGAGATTTGTGAAGGATTTTTCAAAGATTAGCAATCCATTGTGTCGATTGTTGCAAAAAGATGTGGCATTTGAGTTCGATGAAGCATGCAAAGATTCATTTGATAAGCTAAAAGATATGTTAACATCTGCACCAATAATTCAGCCACCAAATTGGGATCTTCCATTCGAACTTATGTGTGATGCCAGCAAGAGTTTGAGTTCCATGCAGCTCTTAAGTATTTGCTTTCAAAGAAAGAAGCTAAGCCCAGACTCATTCGGTGGATGCTCTTACTACAAGAGTTTAACCTGGAGATACGAGATAAAAAGGGTGCAGAAAATTTAGTTGCTGATCATCTTAGTAGGATAATTACAAGTGAAAAACCTTCGCCATTGCAAGATGATTTTCCTGATGAACATCTTTTTTCTGTTCAAAAGACGATTCCCTGGTATGCTGATATTGTGAATTACTTAGTTACTAGAACATTACCAGTTGATTTATCTAAATCTCAAAAAGATAAAATAAAGAGTGATGCTAAATACTATGTTTGGGATGACCCTTATTTGTGGAAGCATTGTTCTGATCAAATAATCCGAAGGTGCGTATCTCAAGAAGACATTCCTTCCATTTTGAATTTTTGTCATTCATATGCGTGTGGAGGACATTTTGGTCCAAAAAGAACTGCTCGTAAAGTGTTGGAATGTGGTTTATTTTGGCCATCTTTATTTCGTGATTGTTATATGTTTTGCAAAACATGTGCGCAATGTCAAAAAACTGGAAATTTGGGTTATAGGGATCAAATGCCACTTACTCCTATTCTTGTTTGTGAAATATTTGACGCTTGGGGTATTTATTTCATGGGTCCTTTTCCTTCTTCTTACAATAATGTTTACATTATTCTTGCTGTGGATTATGTGTCAAAGTGGGTTGAAGCTAAGGCTACCCGGACTGATTGTGCTAAAGTTGTTGTTGAGTTTGTTAAATCTAATATTTTTACCAGGTTTGGGATGCCAAGAACAATGATAAGCGATCGTGGAACTCATTTTTGCAACAGAGTAGTGGAAGCATTGATGAAAATATATGATGTTACTCACCGTGTTTCTACAGGTTACCATCCACAAAGCAATGGACAGGCAGAAATCTCAAACAAAGAAATTAAGTCCATACTAGAGAAGACTGTTAACCTGAACAGGAAAGATTGGAGTACACGACTTGATGGTGCTTTATGGGCTTATCGAACGACCTACAAAACTCCAATAAGTATGTCTCCTTATCGTTTGGTATTTGATAAACCGTGTCATCTTCCTGTTGAGTGGGAACACAAGGCTTATTGGGCTGTTAAGCAATGTAACATGAGGATGGATGAATCTGGTGAGTTGAGAAAGTTGCAGCTGCAAGAGCTTGAAGAAATTCGTAATGATGCATACGAGAGCTCTAGAATTTATAAGGAAAAAACAAAAGAAATTTCATGATCAAAAGATTTCTAGGAAAATTTTTGCTATTGGTCAGAAAGTTTTACTTTATCATTCTAGCTTGAAATTTTTTCCTGGTAAATTGCGTTCTAGATGGGTAGGACCTTTTGTTGTCACTAATGTTTTTCCTCATGGTGCAATTGAAATACACAGTTTAGAGACCGGAAATTTTTTTAAAGTTAATGGACATCATTTAAAGCCATTTTATGAAGGTTTTCAGGCATATAATGTTGAAGAAATTAGTCTGCAGTGCCCAGTTTATGAAGATTGAAAAGATATGATGTCCAACCAATGACATGCTACATATAACAAGGGGAGTTTGATCCATTCTTTATTGTTTACGTGCCTTAATTTTAAATTCTATTTAACATTTGGGACAATGTTAAGAATAAGTGTGGGGAGGGGATTTAACTATTATTCAATATTTAATTCTTCCCTTCAAAAAATTTTACTAATGAATTTTTCAAAAAGTATAGTATTTTTACTAGAATTCATAACATAATTAAATAATTGGTCTGGCATATTATGATTATTTAGTTTAGTATTTTGTTTGATATGGTGGTGGCTAAACTAAGCAAGCATGAACCTGTGAGATTTTGAGCCTTTGACTAACACTTCAGTCTAATTATTTTGTTCTTGTGTGATATCTTCCATAGATTTGTATCTCTAAAACTTGTCTTGATTCTCTTTAAAGCTAATTTGATGCATGCATGATTTTTAATATTGGTAGGGAATATCCCGACCGACATAAGCTTTACCACGACCGACTTGCCTTTGTTTTTTCTCTCTTTGTTTTTGCAGGTAACAGGTCGGGCTTCATGCGAAGAACCCGGTCGGGATCTGACCGGGAGTTGCCCGAGCAGTAGTGTCGACCACCGAGCGGTAGCCCTTTGGCGAGAGAGCTGACGAAGGACACGTGGCAGCTCTTTACGACGACAGACAGGGCACCCGGGAGGAGGACACGTGGTGGCTACGTGGAGAACATGCCGAACGACCGGATTCTTGCCCTGGCACAACGGCTATAAATACCCACAGTAGCTACAGTGTAGAGGACTTTTTGGACGATCGATAGGTTGTTACTAGAGAATCCCGACCGCAGTCAGTCGGTACTCAGAGCAACCAAGTAGATTGTACTTAGGGCCTTTACCGTGATCAATAAAGATTTTACTTGCTTTAATTGGTCTCGGGTTTATTTTATATTGCTTACGTAGAATTAGCAGTATCATTTTGGCGCCGTCCGTGGGGACCCGTGCGAGAAAGCAACGTTTTGACGAGCACCCGGTCTCTTTGCAATCATGTATCCGTGGGCTTACAACAACTTCGCCGACGACCAGGCGGATGCAGCGAGTTCATCTGAGCACCATGCCACCCAACAGCAAGGTCAGACGGTGGATCTGAATCTTAATCTCTCACCACCGCATCCGTTTAACACATACCCGGTTGCCCAACAGCCGGTACACTACATTCAACCGGGATACCCAACACCCGGTCAGCCGTATCAACAACAGCCGGTAATGTATCCCGGCCAATATCCATACCCGGTCCCACCTCCGCCGTACGGGTATTGGCCTGGCCAACCGATGTACTACACTCCCCGGGTTGGGTATCCGCCATACACGCCTGCTTACACAGCTCCAGCCGCCGCCCCTCCAGTTTACCCGACCGCACAGGTAGAGCCGCAGCGTCAGTCCGCTTCCCGGGCTCGACGCTCGGCTCGTTCGCGGTTGGGGTCGGGGGGTGCTGATGCGATGGAGGCACCGGGGCAGGCCCAGCAAGCGGCCGAGGTTCCCGTCCAAGCGGAGGACCCCGAAGAAACTGCCCGAGCGGCAGCTTTTGATCGTCTTCGACCGGAGATGCGTCAGCGTTTGGGACCCCAAGACCCAAACCGCCAGCCAGAAGACGTACAAATGCAGGAGGCCAGCCAGGAGGCTTCATCCGGGTATAGCGGGTCGAGATCTCACCGACGGCGACGCGCTCGGGATACAGCCCAAGCTACTCAAGCCGCCGAGCTCAATGAGACCCGAGGATTACTCTATAACCTCCAGGAGGAGTGTGCGCAATTCAGAAACGCACACCCTGCAGCACCCCCGGTCGACCAACCAACCCTACACCAGACGCCTTTCACAGCGGCGGTGATGGCTCAGCCTTACCCGCTTGATTTAAAGCTCTCTGGAGAGAAGAGTTATGATGGCCGGACAGACCCTGAGGCTCACGTTAATGACTTCTACAGCAATATGACGCTGAAGGGCATGTCAGACGCTGTAATGTGTAGGGCTTTTTATTCCACGCTTACCGGTCGGGCGGCGGAATGGTTTCGAACTTTGCAGCCGGGCTCGATCGACAGGTTTGACACCTTGGCGATCAAGTTCGTGAGGAAGTTCATTACTTCCAAAGTGGTGAGGAAGTCCTATATGTATCTAGAGAAGGCCAAGCAACTTGAAGGAGAGAGCTTGACCGACTTCCTCATCAAGTGGAAGGCGGCAGTCGGGGAGGTTGAGCCCATGGATGATGCGACCGCCACTCACATGTTACACATCTCTCTCCGGGCGGGGTATTTATATCAAGATTTTATTCTACATCCCCCGGCCACTTATGAGGAGGCCCTTCGAAGGGTCACAGATTATGCCAATGCTGGCGAGGCGAACACCGTAAAGCGCTCGCAGGAGGTCGGGTCTTCGTCCCGTAAACCGGCCGGGCGGGCGGAACACCGATCGGGTGATGACCACCCCCGATCCCGCACCAGGCCTGGTGAGTTTACGGCCTTGAACCGATCTGCAGCGGAGGCCATGCAGTATGCCCAGTCTTGCAATCTCATCAAGCTTCCCCATCCCGATCGAGATGGTCCTGACAAAAGTAAGCATTGCGCTTACCATCGATGTGCTGGGCATGACACCGAAGAGTGTACCCACTTGCGCCAACTGTTGGAGGATTTTCTCAATCTTGGGAAGTTGGACAAGTGTGTAGGGAGAAGAGAAGACCCCAAGAGGAATACCGATCGGAGAGATCAGCGGCGCCCCCATCACCGCTCCGATCGGTCAGGTCAGGACCGAAGAGACGATCGAAGGGATGATCGTCGCGACGACCTACGGGACCCTGACCCTCCATCTAGCAGCCGACCAGCAGGAAAGCCGACCATCCATGTCACTTTCGGTGGATTGGAAGACGCTTCCCGACCGCGGAGTAATTGCCCGGTCGCCATAGTGGATTCCCGGGAGACCGGGAAGAGGCAAAAGATGGAGCCCATAACCTTCACCCTGGAAGATCAACCCAGCAGCGGCGACCACGGCATGGAGGCGCTCGTGGTCGCAATTGATGTGAAAGGGACGGATGTCCAGAGGGTTATGGTTGACACTGGCAGCAGTGTGAACGTCCTCTATTTGGACGTGTTTGAAAAGCTTGGACTAGACAGGAAGGAGCTGACTCCGGTTGGTGTACCACTGTCTGGCTTTACCGGGGCTCTTATTTACCCCGAGGGAAAGATAACGCCCCCGGTCGAGATCGGCACAGCCCCGAAGTCGATCAAGACGGAGCTAGAATTCGTTGTGGTCAACCTCCACTGTGTCCACAACATTATCTTGGGCCGACCCGCCATTATGAAGATCGGTGGGATAATTTCAATGCCCCACCTGTGCATGAAATTCCCCACCCCCAATGGGGTCGGTGTAGTCCGCGGCGACGTCCAATCCTCCCGGAAGTGTTACACCCGAGCGGTCAACAGACGCGACTCCGGTTCATCTTCTCGGGTGAACACCATAGCCAAAGAAGAGGCTAAAGATCGGAAGGAACAGCCTGAGCCTTCCGAGGAGATAGAAGAAGCTCCCCTATCCGAGGACCGACCGGATAGGAAGATTAAGATTGGCCGGGCCCTCACCCCCGAGCTCCGAGCAGAAATTTTGGCCATACTCCGGGAGTATGCCGATATCTTCGCCTTGGGGCCCGAAGACATGCCCGGGATCGACCGATCGGTAATTTGCCACAAGCTAGCCGTTGATCCCGCAGCAAAGCCGGTCGTGCAGAAAACCCGGCACCTTTCTTCCGATCGCCGTGAGTTTGTTAGAGAAGAAGTCAAGAAGATGGCGGCGATCGAGCACATCCGACCAGTGATTTATCTCGAGTGGGTGGCCAATATAGTCCTCGTTCCTAAGCCCCCAGCTTGGAGGATGTGCATTGATTTTACCGACCTCAATAAGGCCTGTCCGCTCGACCCGTATCCTCTACCGAGTATCCACCAGATGGTCGACGAGACGGCCGGGGCCGAATTGATGAGCTTCATGGATGCATTCAAGGGTTATCATCAAATCATGATGCACCATGAAGATGAGAGCAAGACAGCCTTCGTGACCCCGGACGGGCTGTATTGTTACCGAGTGATGCCGTTCGGCCTCCGTAACGCAGGAGCGACCTACCAAAGAATGGTCAATATGCTCTTTGCCGATCTGCTGGGCCGAACGATGGAAGCTTATATTGATGATATGCTGGTCAAGAGTCGGGACCGATCCGACCACACTCGAGATCTCCGGGAGTGCTTCCAGATCATGAGGAAGTACCAGTTGCGGCTGAACCCGACCAAGTGTACATTTGCGGTTCAGACCGGCAAGTTCTTCGGCTATATGATGACTAAGAGAGGAATTGAGCCCAACCCGGCCAAAGTGAAAGCGATTCTGGACATGCAACCACCTTCTGCCGTTCGGGAAGTCCAGCAATTGACCGGTCTGTTGGCAGCCCTTAGCCGATTCCTCTCCAAGTTAGCCGAGCGCGCTTTACCTTTCTTCAAGGTATTGCGAAAGGTTAATGGATTCGTCTGGGACGAAGAATGCCGAGCGGCTTTTGATGAGCTGAAGGAGTATCTCATGTCACCAATCGTGCTCTCAAAGCCTGAGCTCAGAGAAGAGCTAGACGTGTACCTCGCCGTCTCCGATCGTGCAGTAAGCGCAGTCTTGTGCCGAACCGATCTGGAAGGGGTCCAGCGACCGGTGTACTATGTAAGCCACGCGCTACATGGTCTTGAGCTCCGGTACTCCCGGTTAGAGAAGGTCGTCTACGCATTATACATTACCGCGAAGAAGTTAGCTCCCTATTTCCAGGGTCGAGCAATTCACGTGTTGACCAATCAGCCGATCGGGCCAGTCCTCCGAACTGCTTCATCATCCGGTCGCCTAGTCAAGTGGGCGCTAATGCTGACCCAGTACGCGATCGAATACCGACCGAGACCAGCTATCAAAGGTCAGGCCTTGGCTGATTTTTTGGTCGAGTGCACCGCCCGAGATACCCGACCCCCCGAGGTTGCGGATCCCGAGGCTGAGTGGTGGTCGTTGGCTACTGACGGGTCAAGTAGCAAGAAAGGGGCAGGAGGAGGAGTGGTGGTCACGAGCCCGGAGGGATTCAAAGTCTATTTTGCTCTCATGTATCAGTTCCATCCGACCAATAATGAAGCCGAGTACGAAGCCTTTGTTAATGGCTTACAGCGCGCTCGGGACTTGGGGGCTGAATACATTCGAGCTCAAACAGATTCTGCGCTCGTGGTCGGGCAGGTTCTCGGAGATTATGAAGTCAATGGAGAACGTCTGCAGTTATACCGAGACCTAGCCACGGAGAAGCTCGCTCAGTTCCGGGGGTATACCGTCCGGCACATACCCCGATTGGATAATGCCGACGCGGACATCTTGTCAAAGTTGGCTCAAGACACCCCGGAACATATATCGAAGATAGCACGAATTTTGGTGATCCCGAGACATAGCATCCATCGCCTACCGGTCAATCCAATCCAACCGGTAGAAGACAGTTGGATCACCAATCTAAAGGAGTTCCTCGAGCACGGTCGACTCCCAGACGACCCCCACCGTGCTCGAAAGGCCAAGCTTAGAGCCCCAAGGTTCCAAGTCTTGGACGGTCGTCTCTACAGGCGATCATACGGAGGACCTCTTATGCGTTGCTTGACCGCATTTAAGGCCGATCTGGTCATGAAGGAATTGCATTCCAGAATTTGTTCTTCACATCAAGGAGGGCGATCGTTAGCCCGTCGTATCATGCTGATCGGGTACTATTGGCCGTCCCTCCAGCTAGACTGCGAGAAGTTAGCTCGGGAATGTGAGACGTGCCAACTGTTTGCCCGGATGCCTGGACGACCGGCAACTTTCTATCAGCCGGTCACGACTGCAATTCCCTTCGCTAGGTGGGGAGTAGACATTTTGGGCCCCTTCCCTCAGCTCTCCGGTCGGAGAAAGTTTGTGATTGTCGCCATCGATTACTTTTCCAAGTGGATCGAAGCCGAGCCCTTAGCCACGATCACCTCTCAGCAGTGTGCTCGGTTCCTTTGGCACAATGTGATTTCTCGCTTTGGCGTGCCCGTGTATCTTATCAGCGACAACGGCCGCCAATTTGTGAGCCAATATTTTCAAAATTTCTTGGCCACGATCGGGACGACCCACGTCCGGTCGTCGGTGGCTTACCCGCAGGGAAACGGACAAGTGGAGAACGTTAACCGGACGATTTTGGAAGGTCTAAAAAAGAAGCTACACTCGGCTGGTCGTAGTTGGGCCGATGAGTTACCATATGTGTTGTGGACTTATCGGACGACCCCGAGGGAAGCTACTTTGGAGACCCCTTTCGCCCTGGTTTATGGAGCAGAGTCCCGACTCCCGATCGAGGCTTGGATCCCGACCGATCGAGAGAGAACCTACAATGCGGAGGAGAATGAACATGCGATGGTCGTGGATCTCGACGGGGTTGAGGAAAAAAGAGAGCTAGCCGCTCGGCGTATGGCTGAGTATCAGAAACGGGTCAAGAGTTCAAAGGATGTTCGGGTCAACCCTCGTTATTTCCAGGTGGGAGATTACGTTCTACGACGAAGGGAGGCCAGTCAACCTTTGGAAGGCGGAAAGCTAGCTCAAAATTGGGAAGGGCCGTACATCATCAGCGCTATCATACGGCCGGGTACATACCGACTGGAAACGACAACCGGTCGGATAATCGAGGGGACTTGGAATTCCGAGCACCTCGTTATGTTTAGGCACTAGCCTATTTTTTGTAATCTTTGGACGAAGTGGGGGCTCAACCTGCGAGTTGGTCCCTGTCGTCATTTGTAATTAAATTTATTATTGTAAATATTTATTAACCGCCTGCGAGCGGGAAGGTTTAATGTATATACGATCGGTGATTGCTTGACCGTTTGTATACGGCGGCCCGGTCGGTTATTTTCTATACCTTTAGTGCATGCAGATCAAGTTACATCGACCGAGCGAGTTTATCGACCGGTCAAATACGCTCCTCTTCGGCGGACATTCGGGTCACGCCATTTGATCGGGGAAGCCAGGAGCATTCAGCATAATTCCCCGACCCACTCAACTTCTTTCCACTATCGCACTCACTCGTGCCTCGAGAGCACAATAGTGTGGGGGCTGGGATAAGGAAGTGTCTGTAGGCCCATCGCTCGGGAAAAGGAAGTGTCTGTAGGCCCATCGCTCGGGAAAAACTCGACCGTGGGGGCTTACCCATTTTCAAAATTTCGTCAAGGCCAGGAGATCGGGTAAACCTGATCGGGTTGGCCAATATGACGCTGACATAGGTCTGTCGTTCGGGGATATCCTGAACGTGTAGGCCTACCTACTCTCAAAATTTTGACAAGGTCTGAGGATCGGGTAAACTCGGTCGGGTAGGCCAATGTGATGTCGAGATCTGGGGTGTACGACTGGGCCATAAGGCCGCAAGGTCGGATGTCGACTGAGTAGGAATAGTGCACGACCGGGCTTAAAGGCTGTTAGGTCGAGCATTTACGGTCGGTGTGCGCACGTTGAAAACCAAGATATAAAGTAAAAAATGAACGGCACAAGTTATTAAACAAAAAGAGATTCATTCATAAAAAAAATAACGTGCCCGGTACAACTCGGGACCGGGCTCCCGATTAACATCACTTATACAAAGAAGCAGAATTCAACCTATCCTACTTCTTCGTCTCCTTCGCTTCCTCCTTCCTAGAAGTACCCGCCTCGCTCGGGGTGGCTCCCGTTGACGTGGTTGGGTTGGCAGTGATCTCCTTTGAGGCAAAAGGGGAAGGACCGGGATCAGCCAAGTCGGGAGGGAGCGCAGACAACACGAGTTGGAGGTCGTCTCCTTCGAGAGCTTGCCCCAACCGTTTTTGGGCCTTCTCCAGCATCTTCCTTTGGCCGGCCTTGAAGGCCCACCGACCAAAGGACAGAATAAGATCCTCCCCGACCTTGGTCCGTCGAGCGGCTGTGAGGAAGGCCGAGCCTACCTTGTCATCCTTGAAGGCTGATTGTGCCAGCTCGTCCGGATTCTCCATCCGGGCCTTCAGCTCCTTGTTTTCCCCGATCGCCCGTTGGGCGACCTTCTCGGCCAGGACCCGGTCCTCCTCACTCTTCTTCAAGGCCTTCTGGACTTTCTCCAGCTCGGCCTGGACGTCCTTAACCTCCTGAAGACGTCGAGCGGCCATCTTCTTGTGACGGTCAGTTTCCCCAGCTAGCATTGCCCGACCTTGAAGAAGTTGAGCCGCTCGGGAGATCTACAATAGAATAATGTTTAGTCAGCTCGACCAGAAGCCCTTGAAAAATGTTTACGAGAAAAGGGTGCTTACCTCGGCCAGGTCGTGGCCAATCCGTTCGGCCACTTGAGTTGGGGTCATCTTCCCCAAATCTTCTTTGACTGGCCCGGCGTTCCCGATACGGGCCAGTATGGACGACTCGTCCTGGTTTCGCCCGGTCGACGGGCTCGGGCTATGTTGCTCCCGGCGGCGTTTCATACCGCCCACCTCAGTTACGCCCCGTTCGGGCGCTTTTTCTTTGTCCCGGGCGACCTCCACCCGGGTGACCAGCACGTCGCTGGGCTCAACCACAAAACCCTCGGCCGTCGTGATGGTCGAGGTCCCCAGGGGTCGGGCCACCGGAATTTCTTTCTGCCCGGTTGGTTTCCCCTTCGCCTTCTTCTTACCGCCAAGGGAAATCTTGACGGGTGGGGGAAGGGAAGTGTCGTCATCCCCAAATCCGGCCATTTCTGCAAAATAAAAAAGAAACAGTTAGGTCGAGAAGATAAAAGAGCAGTCGGGATATAAAGGGTCGGGGAAAGTAGTTAGCCTCGAACCTTTACCCTTCCTTTTGGCCCGAGCGGGCATCCTTACAATTGTTACACCCGCCGGCTCGGGCTTGTATTTTTCGGTCAGGTCGTAGACCGGAGCGGGAAGCTGAGCCGCCTCATAGCACTCGGGCAATTTGAAGATGCGGTACTCGTAAATCTCGCTCGAGATCTTGGTCACCGCATCTATGAGGGCCTGGGTCTCGACTGGGACGACTTGCCTTCGAAAATGCTGACTCCAGACCCTCTCGACCGGGAGGATCCACGGATCGTATTTCACTGAAAAGATCCGGTTCTTCCACCCCCGGTTGTTCCCGGGCAGCCCCTCAATCGAGCATTTATCCGCTCGGGACTAGGTCATCAAGAATCCACCCCCGTACGC